CCCCCCCCCACCCCATACGCCCGGACAACTGTCAATTCAAATACTCTATCATAATTATTATCCATAGGATATCGAAATCAAATTAATGATGATCATAAGCATGATGAGCTAACAAAATGTATTGAAATATTGTGATGATTACAGTGAAAAGGGAGTTCAGTGCGTATAACAACCTATCAAGTGCTCTATAAATCAATCCAACACATTACCTTCTCAAGGAGTGACATAGTTGTCTGGAGAATGATTTTCATGACTATCTGGAGAATGTTAATCATTAATATCACGAGAGTGACTTGTGTTTATATTAGCAAAGATTTGTGTGGTGCTAAATTTATCCGAAAAGTGTGATTTTTATTTCAAGTAGCTGTCATTTCAAGTGGCACACTCATCATTGCTTTTCTTTCGGGTATTCAAAATGAACTCGATGTCATAAAAATCTCTTCCGTGCGATAGTTTGTGGAAAGGTATAAATTGTTAAATGTCGTTCGTCGAGCCTTCCATGGAAAATACATTTTCAATAAATATTCAGGACATTTGGACTTCTTCCCTCTTCCCTCTGTAGATAAGAACATGTGACAACAATTCTTTTTCGGTTCTAGTTAGGACTATACTATATGCATCTTAGGCGATCACCGATAAGCATTATTTAATCAGTCGTAAGGGCTTGCTTCTAAAAAAAATATCCACTAACGTAACCCTAACCCCAACCCAACCCTACCTGATACACAGTGAATAGAAAACATTGCATCCAAATTAGTTATCTTCTCTACATTCCATTAGTAGCTATTTTTAGAAACAGTTTGTCTACCACTACCAACCCTGGCTAACTTCTCCCGGACAACTCCCCCGGTCAGATATCCCCAGACAACAAATAACCCTGATACAATCAATTTATTAATTAAGTCAATGGTTAAGGCAAGCTGTATAGGTAACTGTCTGGGGATAATATTGTTTGTTGGTGGATTCTTTTTGTAGTGAGGGGGGGGGGGGGGGTAAAGTGAGGATGTCGTCGTCCGGGTGTCGTTGTCCGGGGGTAGTATTCCTCATACTAATTATTTGAATAACATGTAGCCTGTATCTGTCAGTGCTTGGAAGTTGACGTGGTAATTAGTGATTTTAGTGGCGGTTTACGTGACCACCTTTGTTCAGTGTTTATGGTGGTTAGCTGGGAACAATCTAACATTTCCGCAAACATGACAGAGGAAGGAAACCTATAATTATTATGGAAAGCGTTCACGAATGTCAAATCTTGAACGTCGTTAACCCTTGTCAAATTAAGTGTGTTCTAGTGTGTTGTTGTTGTGGTTGTTGTTGTTGTTGTTGTTTTTTTATGTGTGTTTGTTTTTATTACTATAGTCTCCATATATCACAAATGAAGGAAGCCCGTGATTAACAAGATTAATAAGTATGTGAAGTGTTTACGTGCGTCTACTTCTTGACTTCGTTTAATAGTCATGTCTACTTTTGTCAAAGAGATCTCCTTTTTTCAGTGGTTTGTCAATTTTGTTATAGACAACGCAAATCTCAAACTTCCTCAGTGGAAGGTATTAATCAGTGATTAATGAGTTTGGGAAGTATTTACAAGCGTCAAATCTTCATCCGTGTTAACCTTGTTATTTCAGTATTTTTTTTTTTACCTCCTCTGAGTCAAAATAATGTCTGAATAACGCAAATCACAAAGGAGGAGGCGCGATGGCTCAGTGGTAGAGCAGTGCATGGTCTCGTAACCGAGAGGTCCTGGATTCGAAACCAATCCTCATTACCAGTTCCCTCGGAGAGGACTTAACGCCGTCGGACATCTGGTTGCTTGCTTACAAGCATAAACATGCTTTCCTAGCAGTTAAACATTAAAAAAAAACATTTTTAATAACTCAAACAAATTCAACAATGGGAGAAAGCCAATGATTAATACGCCTGTCCGTTCTTTAACTTCGCAATGCTATACTTTTTGTTGTTGTTTTTTTCTTCAAGAAAATGAAATGAAGCCTGTGATAAACACGATTATTAATTTGTGCCCATTTTTTTAAAGGTTCGTTAACCGTTGTCAGTGTCAATAAGATTTTGTGATTTCAGCGTTTGTTGCTGTGTTTGTTGCTGCTTCATTTTGTTGTCTATATATCACAAAATCACAGAATTTCCACAATGGTAGGAACTCCCTAATGCCTATGATTACTCAGTATGGGCAGTGTTAACGTGCTTAAATACTTTAACTTTATTATATAACCCCTATTATTATCAAAATATTTTTGTAAATTCAGTGCTTCGTTGTTGGTGATAATTCCTTCTTTTTTTGGTCGTTGTTGTTGTTTACTATATTTCTAAGAAAGACAAGTCGGAAATTTCCACAATAGACGGAAATTCCACGATCATTAGTGTGGGAGGTATTTATGCGCTTCCATTCTTTGACTTTGTGAACTCTTTTCATTTTCAGATGGATTTCGTTGTTCAAGTGTTTTGTTGTTGTTGCTGTTAATTTGATGTCTAGACAACGCATGTCACGCGAATGCACTAATTCTCTATTTCTGACCAAGTTTCAAGGAAACATAAACATCCTCATGATGTAGTCACCCTATTAAAAACATGATCTTAATTAGTCTACAAAGTTATTACAAAAACCAAGAAATGGAAGACATAGTCATTCTCATGAACAACTTCCTCTAATCTGTCTGGCTTTGTTACCATGGTAAAGTAACAAAACTCTAGGTTCTCTTTCCATACATTCGTTGCGACTGAAACGATATACTTTATTCAAAATCTTTGGTGGGGGTGTTGATTCTCTGCAATTTTGGAGACATCGTGGACTCGTGATTTTCCCATTTTAAGATGATTGGATTATGAGCTCAGTTGTTTTTAGAAGGAAAAAAAAGGATTTCGCTATGGACAGTTACTAAAACTGGCTCGGAACAATGCCCATTCAAAGAGAGAAGGAAATTGATGGCTATTGTAGCTACTAATTACAAAAGTTTCTAAAAATGTTAGTTATAGGCCTATTCTTTCACAGGTAATTTCGTTTTGAAAATCTTCAGATATCAGAATACAGTTAGGACTGTTTTTATTCCTTTGTCTCCTTCATAGATATGAGGGTTTTTTAATGTATAAATTTGTTGTTTTACCAAGAACTTGCTTTCATATCATCGTATAACACAATCGCAAAAACTTTTGAGAAACTAGGTTATCGTAAAAGCATTGTGCGTCACGTATTGAAATGTTCAAATGTTACAATCATCCGAATGTGATGTTAATATAAGTAACTACTCAAGGAAACTTTGGAAGGGATGAGAATGAGATGTATAGATTAGTATGATACATGGGGAGTATGAGAGATCGAGACAGAAAACAAAATAGCGAGAGGAATAGAACGAGAAAGGGAAAGAAGGAGAGGAAAGGGTAGAAAGTTATAGAACAAAAAGTTATATATATATAGAGAGAGAGAGAGAGAGAGAGAGAGAGAAAATATAAGAGCGAGAGGGAATGAAAGAGAAGGGGAAATAATGGAGAAGGAGAGAGAAAAGGGTAGACAATGAAAGAACACAAAGAGAGAGAGAGAGAGAGAGAGAGAGAGAGAGAGAGAGAGAAATAAAGAGAGAAAAGGGCAGAGGGGAAGAGAGATAGAGGGAGAGGGAGACAGATAGTTAAAAGAAGATAGACAGAAGTCATAATGATTGTATGTAACAGGAAATCTCTTGAAACCCGGGCTGTCATGGCAGTATACTGAAAGTGCGTTAAAGGCTTTCATTACTTTCATGAAACGAGAATAGACGCAAAAGCAACTGATTTAAAGTAGGCATAATGATATTAATCGTTTGATTATACAGATAAGTGGTGATTGAAAATTAACATTCGTATCCAGATACAGTAAATAATCTGTCTATATTAAAGGCAACCCAAGGGGAAAAGAAAAAGTGATGATTGTAAACAGATGGCCTATGTATAACAGGAGATTTATTTACACGTATATGACCGCTATGGGCAGGTGACAATACCACTAAGATAGGTTTAAATTTTACTGGGAAAACTTGTTACTTGTTAGTGTACGTTCCGCTTAATATCGTGATTATATAAGCGTACTCGAGTGCGTTCATTATTAGGTAATACAGAGAAATGCAAGCTATTTTTACTTTCACACACATTCCTGTTCATTATTCCTTTTGATATCACTGAGGTTGTTTAGATGCAGCCTGTAATATATTTATTCACTCTTTCGTGATATAGTTGGGTATCTATTGTCCGATAATAGCCTTTAAAGTGAACACGCTTGGTCAAACCTTTGGCCTACTTTCACAATGTATACGTAGCAGACTTTCGAAAGGTAATGAATGACCTTTAAAGGCATCGTTTAACAATGTTAAATATGAGATGCATGGCCATATTTATACGTGTGATCAGTGTATGTGATGTGGTGCAATAATGAAGCCCTGAAAAAAGTACGCTTCAAAATGATCATGAAGTGCCTCAAAAAAGTAAAAAATCTTTGAGTTACCGGTTTTACCATACTCTTTTCCCCCAATAGACTGCAAAGTTATGAAAACCGTTAGGAAAACGCAAAATTTGATTTCGTTTTCCAATCATAAATAATATATCTTGATAATCAATCAGACAGGTGATCGGCTTGTAAAAGACATGGGGTTCCTTACTGACCTAAAGATGTATAACATCATTGCAGCATGAGCTAAATCTAGGATTTTGTTGTAGAATCTGAGACAAAGTTACCCAATCCCTTTAATCAATTCAGCTGTACAGAAACAGAAAAAAAATGACTAGTGGGTTTGAAGACGGAAGTTTCTCAGTTCCTTTTCTACACAAGATATTGTTGACAGCTAGCTCTAGTATCAGTTCTAGCAGCGTTTTAAGTGAAAGTTCGTCCATTTTACCTTGGTGTGCAATTGAGTTAACACGTTAGGCTGGTGGCATGCGTTTTTAGCCTGGAGGAGAAAGTATGGTGGATCATTAGGGGATCGTTAACGTTTAGAATGGCGATTTAATGCCATGTCGCCACAATACAACGCAACGTAATTATGGAGAATGATAATTATGATGACACGAGTAGCGGAGATGGCGAAGACGTGCTTGGCGAATGGAATTCCTGTTTATTATTGGATGATGCGGAATCGTCGCTTCCGCGCGTGCGAGCTTCGTCGGTCGCTAGGGGAGACGGTCACGACTCCTGCAACGCTCAACCTCAACATCAACACCATCCTTTATTGAATGCCGCTGTGCGTTCTCCAACGTCCCCCACGTACAGTTTGTGCGGGTCTCGCCTCCGTTGGATAAACACTGTAGAGCAGCTGCTACTGGGAGTCCCCTATTTTTACCGTCCTGCATTGTCTGTGCTCACTCACACAAAGAGGGAACTGTGTAACGTCAACGGGAAAGCACTGAGCAGACGACAGCTTTGTCATAGGTATCGCGATACTCGTCACTCGAATCAAATTTCTTTCATATCAGTCGCTCACTTCCCCTTTGAGCAAGTCAGACGCGATTTGAAGTGCGCTCCCCAAGGCGAAAGCAGGATATTTGCTACAAACTGCACAGAGTTGTCTTCATCAGCAGCAGCATCAGTGATCAAAACACAGGAATTTAGCTGTAGCATTTCCAGGAGTAGCGAGTCTTGTGATAACAGTAACTGCAGCTACTTCAGCGGACGTTTCACCAGCTTCTTCGCCATGCCTGTCCCGGAGAGTTTCCGTTCGACATGGAGTACTGATCACGTCCCTGCTCTCCACATCTCTTCCACGCCGGATAAGCTGAAAAAGCTAAAGGAAATACGACGAGATGATAATTTTAACATCGAGGTAGGAAAGCTGTTTTTTAATGGATAATTTGATTGTTATGTTCATAAGACTGAATAATAAGTCCTCCTCTATTTGAAATCGATACCATGATTGATTTGGGGAGGGGGTGCATGCAAGTTCAGGGGGAGGGGGTGTGCACGAATTCCTGAAAGCCAGTCACTGAATGTTCTTCATATTGAACCATCTTCTACCTCTTGGTTGCTTTGATCCATTGCCGAAAGTATTTTGGCACCTATCATCCCCCAACCACGGATACAAATCGACACCCTTGCTGATAACAGTGAAATTATGTCAGTCATAATGACTAAAATATCACCGCCGATATATCACTTATATAATTGCGTTATCATTTCAGTATGGTATGTCACTGATCATAACTACTAGTAATAACTGATGTATCTCAAGTTATGGTATATATTTGGCATAGAGTCTATTAGTATCACTGGGAGTCGATGATAAGTTGACTGCTCATAATATCTCTGATATAAAAATTGTTCATACCACAAACTATATATATATATACCTGTCTCGTGTAGACAGCAGTTCTTGGCATAAAATCATTGCGATGATGAGTTTTATTGACTCTCTAACTCCTAGACCGACCGACGGTACATACACCTACAGAAGCATAGATAATGCAACCATAATCCATATCATGTGTGTTTAACCAGTAGGTCCATGGTTTAACACTGCTTAGGATCTAATTATATCCATTGACTCAGAATTTTTCTATTGACTCAAATTCTGTAGCAATCGATCGGCATGTCTAAACTCTAAAGGTTGTATATTGATTAGATTTATTGAATGGAAAAATGAAAGGATGGTATTTCTCAGTCATATATCTACACTAAGTGGCTGTGCAGTCGTTCGCCTCGTACTGGCTATATAGAGAAGCTGGAATAGTCGTCTAGTTTTGGTGCCTTATGTGAAGAGGCTTGAACAAGGCTTTAACTATATAAGAAGTGTAGTTCGCAGAATGCTGCATCTGGAAAGGGGAGAAATCTACCACCACTACCACCCATCCCATTCACCATCATCCCCATCATAATCATCATAACTTTCATCATCACTACTTATCGTCATGAGCATCACTTCACCACCATCATAATCTCAATCGAAACTATCATAAAAATCTTCATCATAACCATCATACACCATCCACAACCATCGTTGCAAATTAAAAATAAAAGAAGACGATTCGGCATCTGTCCTTTGTTTGGGATGACTTGTGACGTATCGATGACAATTCCTCAACTGTCAAAGTCTTTGAGGCAAATTCTTTTTGTCACATTCGGGAAGATGACTTAGCTTCGATGCCAGCGCATCGGTGCAAATGAGTAATGTGTTTTGGGATTAATCTCCCCTCGCAGTTGATAACACCAACATCTCTCCAAAGATAATTGACGACTCAAATTGTCAAAAGAAATGTAGGTTATTTTGAAATGACATATCGACACCCCTTTTAATACCACCGCTCTATAGTTACAGATCAAGTTTTCAGTGTCACTATGATTATCCTTTCCTGACTAACGGGGTATTGGGATTAACCTGAAGAATTTCCTTCATTCTATGTGATGCCACAAGTGGATTTAGTTACCATAGTAATGTTTTATTGCGTCGAATGAATAATTATACTGCTGATGAGCAAACCGTTAGCAATGTCAAATGTGAAATTTCGAAGAAAAAATAATAAATAATACTTTTATAATTATAGTTGATATTTAATAGTATGTTTAGATTCGTCCTACATGCAATCATTATCAATCTATGTGGCCTGTTCATCAAAATCGTCATCGTCGTCGTCATCGTCAGACCCAGTCTTCTTGAGCAGAACAATACTAGCTTATCATGTTCACGAGCAGACAAATATGTTGCCAATTTAACATGACACCAGTGATGATAGCAAATAGAGATATCGAGGAAATATGGTTTCATTTCTCGATTGAATAGCAGCATCATTTGATTATGACCACAGACAACAGCTCACCGTGACAGCAATGTTGTGGCTTAGTGGTTACTAGTATGTCATTGTTAGTGGCTTTAATATATTTTGTCTGAGGTTTGTGGAATAAGATGTTATTTAGATATTACTAACAGTAAGCAGACCTTTACCCTCAAGGTCCTATGTTCTAGAGTTAACATTTAAGACATGAAGTAGCTATCGGATGGGGGGGGGGGGGGGCGTCGTTCTTGTTATTTCAGTATAAAATGCGAGAGAAACTTTCCATCGAGTGAACGGTGAAGGTTGGGTTTAGAAGGGGGTTACTTCATGTCCCCCCCTCTCTTCTCTCTCTCTCTCTCTCTGTCTCTCTCTCTCTCTCTCTCTCTGTCATTCGATGGGGGTACCCCGTACCTGAAGCTACGCCAATAATTCAAGGCTTTGTTTAAATAGATCATTGGGATGAAATGAAAACTGTTGTGTGGAACGTGTTTCATTTACATTGACTGATTACTATTTTCACATTAAACCACAAAGTATATATATACATAGACGGAAGATGGGTAACAAATGGTTGAACAAAATAATAACAAAACATTTTTGTTTAAGTTGTGCTTCGTCATAAAACTGCGATGCTGCTGATGCCATTATACGGCTGGCACTTAATTACAGCTGGTGCTGGTCAATACCTTTTGATTACAGAACAAACATAATTATTATCAAGAGCTGCTTCTGTGTTTGTTTAGGGACCAGGCTTCTAATGAACAGACAGTCCGAACTTCATGATACCCCTCTCATCCTTGGTCAAATACTCGTTGAGTCGTTATCAGCTTATTTACGAATATCGTAGGCTTTACATTATACTCTTATCATCTTAATCGGACAATCGGCATAATGTATTGACCATTGAGATTTTTGTTTTTAGTTGAATAAAGCTCTGTTTGACCGTAATCCCCTTATCAACATTTTTATGAGATTTGTATTGTGACAGCTGTACTGAGTCACTGTGTTGTAGAATACGATATAAGTACTTTAAGATGGGCGGGGCCTATTAAAGAAATGGCGACGTGGGAGGTCATAGTACAGTTGTGGTCTTTTTTCATCGCATGATTGGTTTGACATCGATAAATGGGCTATTGCCATTTTCTAAATGGGTTTCTGCTGAAATTAATACAATCTAATTTGTTTTTACAGGGTGCCTGGAATCGATTTGATGGGGTCGTTGAAAACTTGAAAACGCTCCTGTTATATTTCAGATTTTCAACATTTAACTATTTGATGATAAATAACATTTCGTAACAAAATAGCTTTGTGAAGCCGCCTTTCACAAAAGTCACCAAATTTACCTTTTTTCATAGTAAGATGATGGACTACTTCTGTTCATAATTTTATGTCAGTTTTGGAGTGGAAAGCAAACACCCCTGGACGATACAGTCATCACATACTCAAACTTATGTGAATATTGGCTTTTCCTGGCTAACCTTGATAATATGAGATTTTGAATAACATTTTACAGCTCTTTTTCCTTCTTCTTCTCTTGGTAACGCCATGTTTGGTTGTTATGATGGCGGTTGCTATGTTCACATTCGTCTTTAGTATTATAGATACTTTGTATTTTCATTGCTGAATGTTGAAGTAAAAGCACTTCAGCAGTGGTTGAATAAATAAAGGAGCATTCCAAAAGAACTTCAAAAAGAACTGTCAAAAGTAGTTTGGCATATTAAACCAGGAACCATGTATGGTGCATGGACTTATACCATTGTATTCTAGTATTGAACTGATGTGAACCAATGTTTTTCAATAGAGTGAGTATGATATTTTAATAGATCAGTTATATTAATTCTGTTATTCATATCTTAATGATTTCATTACGCGATGAATAATATAGCATGCCCAGGTGATCATGATAATTGAAAAATCTCGTTTCTTCTTCATGCCTTCAAAGTTGCTCTAAAAACCCATCTCTTTCTAAACAGTGCTATTTAATCATGTCAATGTAGCGTAATAATTTGTGTTGTTTTAGTTTACTTTATTTTAGTTAATTTTTGTGATAGTAATACATGTATGTACAGCGCCATGAGCGTCAGAGCCTGGCGGATACCGGCGCTATATAAATATCCATATTATTATTATTATTATACCTTTCGTGATGGCCCTAGACTAATAGCCATATAGTATATGGCCCTTCGGAAAGATGTAATTTGAACCTTACTGGTTTTAAAGGTACTATGTCCCTTTTGCAGCCAACCTCAAATTCTGTAGAACTTTGTAGGAATTATGAATATGTCATGTATGTCCTATCTGTGAAATTTAAACGTTAGCAGTGTCCTCATATTCAAATTATGCAAGGAAACCCGTTTACTTGCTAGACTTCACTGTCAGACATTATATACCTCACTTAAGAAATCCAGCCATCTGATTGGTCGAATTGCATTCATAAACTTCAACTGCTCCTGTAAAATTCCCGGTAACCATGCTTAAAACATTTCAATATTTTTAATAACCATGGTTATTAAAAAAATAGGTCAGTCTCCATGGTTACCCCATAGGTTTACATGTTAAAAAATGGTTTGAGCGATGGAAGATACCATACGTGTGCGAAAAATTGGTCGGCAATTTCAATACAATTGAATCTCGATCGATCTTACCGACAATTTTATCTTGCATTGTTGACATGAAGACGAAAATAAACTGTCAAAAACAAAAAAACAACATCTGCCGATAGATCTTGATCTAAGTTCGTGCCAATATGCATTGCAAAAGTAAAAGAAGGGTCCGTTTCATGGAGCTTTTGCGAAGCATCCCTCACGCGGAGCCGTTTTCAATCCATTTTAATGTATATATTGGAAAAAACTGCCAAGCATGTTAACGGCGCGCGATAGCCGAGTGGTCTAAGCGTTGGTTTAAGATACACCTCTTGTTGTACGCAAGAGTTCGAATCCCGTCTTTGACAAAAATGTAAATTATTTTTTATTTTTTATTTTTTAGTCTATTTTTTTTCGGCATATAAAAGTATTAATGACTGCTTTAATATTCGAGAAATAGTTGTTTTCATACGCTC